GCGGCATGCCACGCGTGTGTCCTGCTCTCGGAAAGCTCGTGTAGACACTTCAACCAGTATCTCGACCGCGCGCTCCTTGTCGGTACGCCCGAACGCCCGGAGGTCGGGTTCTTTCACTCCAGGTAAGCATCACGAGCCGCTCACCCGACGAATCAGGGATGATCGTCGAAGTCGAGGCGCTCGAGGAAGCGTTGGAGTTTGGGGGGCAGGGCGACCGCCTTGACCAGGACCATCAGGGAGGAGCACCTACCCCATCTGTCTACTCGCTCTTGTCATGAGACTCGCTCGAGAGAGCAAGCCCGGGCGCCCCGAAACACAGGTCATCAAATGTTCCTCGGATCATCGTCTATCCGGTCGGCGTCGAACGCTACACCAGTGATGTCCTCGTACGCCTGGGAGACCTCCGAGAGCACCCTCGCGTTTTGAGCGAAAGGGCACGCCTGATAAAAATACGCATCGAAGGTATCCTCCCAACCGCCATCGCGAACGTACCGCTCGTAGAGCTCGTCACAATCGTCGAGATCTCGAGGGAGGCTCCGCTCCAGCTTCGAGAGGATCAGATCAAAGGGGTGCAGGAGCTTTACACAAAGCTCTCGGTGGCCAAACCAGTGCCCCGCCGAGACAAGGTTCTCTCTCCAATCAGGGCCGATGAAGAACTGGTCCACGCGAAAAAACTGAAAATGAAGTCTCTCGATCGTGGTCGGGGCAGGATCGTCAAAACTCGACGCGAGCAACGAAAGCTCTGCGCGTCGATCCGAGACATCAGACAAAACCTTTGGATCTCCCGTGACGTCGACATCCTTGGTCTGGTGGAGATTTTCGCAGCGATCCGCGAGGTAGAAGTTCACCGCACTCGAGCCAAATAAATGCAACTCACATGTCTGTTTCAAGCCCTGATCCACGTGAGCAAGAAACATGATGAGTCGTTGCACCTCGGCGTTCTCAGGGCTACGGCGCGGGAGAGTTACAGAGGGTAAGGAGAGCATGGGTATCCGTCATAAGAAAGGCTCCTGTCTTCCTGAACAAGAGCCTTCCTCGTCACAGTTTATTTTGGGGCATCAGTGGACAAACGCGGTCCAGACATCACGGGGCGCGAGCACTCCCCAACGTCGATGGACCTCGTCGCGTTCTCGGCGGCGATCGCTCGGCCTGACGCGCAGCGAGAGTGCGAGCAGCTCCCAGCTCGCAACCGTCGAGGTTTCCACGGCAGCGCGCGTCGAGAGCGCATTCAAACGAGCCTCCATGCCCTCGCCCTGTGGTGAGGTGGCGAGTCGCTCGCAGAGGTAACCAAAGCGCCTCAGCGCATCCGGGTCTGCTCGTGGCGCCAGCACGTCGAATACGGGCACGAGGTCTTCACGAGCGAGCAGGGTCACGAGCGCTTGCAAGACCGCCCCCACAGCGCGCGCGCGCGGCTGTTCGAGTGTTTTTAGCAGCGCCTCGATGCCTACGCTCGTATCCACACGCACCTCCTGTGTTGGAGGAAGGAGATTTGCTCCGAGCTGTGAGAGCGTTGCCAGTTGATGTGGTGACTTGTTCATATCCATACTTTTCGTGTGGAGAGCCTACTCCCTTTGAAAGTAAACATGTCGCACCAGGATGTCCACGGAATCTCATGGCTTTAATCCTTCACGCCACGCCAAAATTCCGGATGAGTGCGGTGGTCCCCTACGTGTCAATGTGAGTGAGGCAATCGAGGTGTGAACAATTAGACCAGGAGGGCGACGAAGGAGAAGCGATGAGCAACGATCCAAAGAAGAGCCCTGATACACCCGCTCAGGAGCGACCTGACCTCGAGGCTCTCCCCAAAGCCAAACGCCGCAAGTTCACCGCATCTTCTTGCAGGTGACATCCGGTGGGAGCGTCCGTGTCATGTGTGAGCATCGAGCCAAACAGACAACAGCAGGAGAAGCAGTTATAAAGTCCGATAAGCAAGCTTATGTCTACTAAAAGACATGTCCAGAATCCTCCTCTCGCGAACCCAACTTCCCCACTCGCCCCACCAGGCGCGTCTCCTGGCTCACGCGCGCCTGCTTCACAAAGAAAACGCCGCCCACGAGAGGACGTCCTCTCGTGGGCGGCGCGCTACCTCATCTCACCACCTCGACAGGCGCCGTCGCGGAGGTGAGGTGAGTTGGGTGAGCGACACCTCAATCATCGCGCCGCGCGGCGTGGTCGAGGAGCTCCCGGACCGTTTGTGGTCCCTCGATGAGCAAGGCCACGTCCTCGACATCGAGGAGAAGGAGGTTGTGCCCCGAGGTCCTCGCCGCTTCGAGCATGACGGACGCGCGGTGGCGCGCCTCGAAGACGGCGGTCTCTGTGGCGGTCTCCTCGAGGAGCCTGGCGAGCACCATGACGAGGTCAGCGACCTCGACGTTCGTGCCAGCGCTCAGGACCACGAGCAGGTCCTCGAGGCGCGGGGGGCGCTCCCCTGGGTCATCCTGCTGCGCGACCGCGCGATGCCAGGTTCTCTCGGCGAACCTCCCCATGCTGTCGATGAACTCCTGCCAGTTCGCGCCAGGGTGGCGCGCGACCGACGCCAGAACGAGGTCACGGATGGCCTGGCGCAGCGAACTCCGCGGTGTGTTGTACAAGGGTGGAGTCGTCATATCTTTTTCCTATGTTTGGCTCGAGGCTTTTGACCTCGGCGTGAGACGGCAGGGTCACCCTCGCCACATGCGAACTCCCTCACAGCCTTGTGCCATGAGGTGTTGGCGACCCTCCTGCCCGCCAGGAGGGGGTCGCCAAACATCTCGTTGGCCATGGCTTTGCCCTTTCACACGAAATCTCTGCCGTCTCACGTCAGATCCACCCTCTTTTTCACCCCCAAACTGACGTGAGACGTCATCGACGCGCGCCTCGCGATCGTGCTCCCATGCTGACCACGTCGCGAGGATGAGCCAGGACATGGAGGAGAGATGAAAGCAGGCAGGGATCTTGAAAAATTAGTTAGAGAGTACCGCGAAGCGATCGCGCGAGGAGAGGAGCTTGGCCCCTTCGCGAGGCTGAAGCTACGGCGGTACGAGGAGCACCTTCAGAACGTCACGAGGAAAGCGGCGAGCGAAAGGACGAGGAGAGAAACAGGGCTCACCGTCGCGCTCGACAACACCCTCGCCCGACGCCTCGACACCTTCTGCGAGGCGACCGACACGCGCGAAGCAGCGCTGATCAGCGCGCTGCTGCTCTCCTTCCTCGATGCATGGGAGCACGAGGAAGCTGGCGCCGCGTGCTCGGGCAGCGCCCTCTCTCGGGAGCTCGTGGAAGAGGAGATCTGATCCATGAAAAACAATACAAATCAAGGAGGTTAAGGATGAACTTCTGGAATGAATGGCAGTCTCGACGCAGGCCTCACCTCACCGCGCTGGGGTTCGAGGAGGAGGTGATCAAGCGGGTCATGCGGCTGGAGTATCAGGGCTTGAAGGGTGACGACTGTGGCCCGCCCGACTGGCTCGCCAGGCTTCACCCCGACGCGCTCAGGGAGCTCTGCGCGGTCAAGGAAGAGGCGGGCTCCCTCGACGAGGCGCTCGAGGGGATCCTGACTAAAGCGGTTTACCCACCTCGGCGCTCGAGCGCTTCGACGCGGTCATCTCGAAGCCCGGTGAGCGCCTCGTGCTCGCCCGCGCCGTGCTCGAGCGGCTCACGACCATGATGGTCAGCGCCGAGGTGAGGGTGACGCTGTGGTCTCTCGAAGGCGATCCGGTGAGCGAGCTGATCCTCTTTCGATACGACGCTGACATCTGAAGGAGCGTCCCCTCATGAACCACCGAACAAAGATAAACATCACGCTCGCTCAAGCGACGAGCGCGAGGCTTTCCAGGATGAGCGCGCTCACAGGAGAGACGCCAGAAGAGCTCGTCGAGGCAGCGCTCGCGCGCTTTCTCGACGCCTTTAAGGAGGATGAAACTGACATCACGCGCGACGACGAGCTCCGTGAACCAGCGCCTGTTCAGGAGGAGGATGTCGTCTCGGAGCGTGTCCTCCTCGCCGGTCTCGAGGCAGAAAAGATCCATCGGCGGGTCCACGAGCGCGCGAGGGAGGAGGCGCTCGCGCGGGAGCTTCTACGCGACCTGGTGCATGATAAAAAACAACAAGAGGAGGAGCGATGAAGGCACGTACCATCGAATCACCCGCGAAGATCACCGCGTCCGAGGAGGTCACGGACACGCGCCACGACCAGAGAGAAGGCGTCGCCTGCCTTGTCGTTCACGAGTCCTTCGCCCGGAGAGTGGCCGAGGAGGAGGTCACGCCAATGAACCTTTTAAAGGATCGACGAAAGAGACGTCAGGTCCTCGACCACCTCACCGCCCTCTCCCAACGCTACGACCCGGACGGCTACTTTGGATAAACCGACCGAAACAGACAGGCAAACCGAAGACGCGCTCTTCACCATCGAAGGCGCCGCAAACCTGCTCGGCGTGAGTAAGACCGCCATCCGGCGGCTCACGCACATCGGGAGGCTCACCTGTCAGATCATCGAGGGCACGCCCATGTATCGACGCGAGCACATCCTCGATCACAGAAAGGGCCTGCTCGAGCTCGCGCGCCTCTTCGAGCTCTCCTGCGAGCTCGGCGGGGACGTCGAGGATACGCCATACGGCGAGCATGTTGGCGAGGGAAGCTTATGTGATGGCGAGGGAGGGTGAGTCTCCAAGGGGCGTCGGGTAGGGTCTTTATTATTATGTCAATAAAAACTACACACAATCGCAGCGCTCACGCCCCACTCGAGATGGATGGGTACCCGAAAGGAGCGCTTCGGATCGACCGACGGCGCCGTGGAGAAACCACGAAGGAAAGACGCTCGTCCTCGAATCGACACGGGTGGTGAGCTGGGCGCGATCATCCCCGAGGGGACGAGCGTCGGTGAGGCCACGCAGGCCATCTTCACCACGCGCATGCTCGAGGATGGAAAGATCGAGCTCGCGAGAAAGAGGCGTTGGGGGAGCGTGAAGGCTGCATTTTTCGTCTCTGACGACCCCTTGGCTCATAATGATTATCCTTGTCGTCTAGCGAGATCTGCCTTTCGAAACCTCGAGATTCTTAGCGATCTCTCCGATCTCGTTGCGAACAAAACACATTTTCTTGTCACGAAGTTCCTCGAGCTTTGGCGAGGATTCGAGCGTCTTCTTACTGCCATCATCCTGGGAAATGACGTAGTGCTTTCCTTCCTTGAGGTAGACAGGATCGCGGTCGACTTTACCCTCGATCACCCCGTGCTTGATAGGCGCTTTGGCGTCGACACCACTGTCCTGCTGCGCCTTCAACCACTCCTTCATGGTGGGACGCTGCTCCATGGCTGGGGGTTCGCCGTCCTTACCCGGCCTGGCGCGATCGATGGCAGAAAGCGCTGGCGCCTTCTGCTTCGCACCGGCCTCGACGCGCGCGAGTACAGCCCTGCAGTCTTGCTTTCTTTCCACGCCTCGCTCTGGCTGCGCGCGCTCGGACAACGGCGTGGGCGCAGACTTGCTCTTCTCGGCGCCGCCTTTTTCGACGGCCTTGACGGATTCGACGTTTGAACTGCCCTTGCCATCGGGGGAGAGCGCCACGTATTTACCGACCTCGAGCTGGTCCTCTCTTCCTTTGGTGTAAATGATGACGTGGTTCTTATCATTGACCACCAGGGCGGCCTCCCCCTTGCCGCGAACCACGAACTTCTCGACCACCCTTCCCACCATCGGCTCCTTGTCTGGGTGGAGCAACACTGTCCCTGTTGCCTTCGCCTTCGCGATCACTTGTGCCCGGCTCAAGGCATCGTTGTCGTGGTAGGAGGTGCCCGGTGTTTGGGTGCCGGGAGCCTCGCGCTCCTCCGATGTCGTGGAGGGATTTGATGGCGCAGGTGTTGGTTTGTTCTGCTCGGCGACGCGCTTCTCGACGGCTCTGGCGGGCTCGATCCTGACGTCGCCCTTGCCGTCAGGGGAGAGCGCGACGTGCTTGCCGACCTCGAGCTTGTTCCCTCTCCCCTCGGTGTAAATGATGGGCGCGTGCCTGGCCTCATGACCACCACGTACTGCCTCTTGTCGCGAATCACGAACTTCTCGACCACCTTTCCTTGCATCGGCTCCTTGTCTGGGTGGAGCAACACTGTCCCTGTCGCCTTCGCCTTCGCGATCACCTGTGCTCGACTCAACCCACGCTGGTGCGTCGTTGTTCGGTTTTGATTCTCGCGCCCCTGAGGTGTAGCCACAGGTGCATCAGGCACGCGTGCAGCCTCTTGTTTGCCGGGAGCGGGCGCAGGCTCTTCATCACGGACTAACCTCGTCGATGGCTCGGGAGCTCTTATATCCTGTCCCTGTTCCTCCATGCGTGTTGGGGTCTCCGCGCGCGCCTTCTCAGGCGCGCGCGCGACCTTGATGACGCCATCAGAAGACGCCGAGACCTCGACAGCCTCTCCCCTCGAGAGCTTTGTCCCGAGTCCTGCGGTGGGCACGACAGCGTGGTGTTTGTCGTCGGCGACGAGGGCGACCTCGCCCTTTTCGCGCGCGACAAACACCTCCTTGACTTGCATCGACGCGGGCTCCTCGGTGAGCTTTGCGGGCTCGCTTTCAAGCTTCTTTCGAGCGAGCGCATGGTCCGCGCCCTTGATGGGCTCGTCTTGCTTGCCACCATCACCCGGTGACGTTTGCCACCGCCCGGCCAGAAAATCCTTACCGCCGAGCCTCGCGATGAGCTCCTCATCCGCCGTCCGCTTGCTCGCCGAGACGACCCGCTCGACCTCGCCGATGGCGTCCTCAAGCTTGCCGCCCTCGCTAGACCCGAGGGCCCTTCGCGCATCCAACGCGCGCTGGTAAGCATCCTCACCGAGGCGCTCCTTGACCTCGCGCAAGAGCTTCTCATTGGCGCCTACCGGCGTGAAGTCCTTGAACCCGGGACGCCTTAAACCATCGTCCCTGGACCCATCACGCTCGCGCTCACCGCCCCCCTCTCTCATCACGGCGCGCCTCTCTTCCGCCCGGGCTGACGCCATGCGCACCTGCCCTGGCGCGCTCACGTTCTCCTGCTAAAGCTCCTTCGATCGCACCTCGCGCGAGCTCACCTTCGCCCGATTTATCCCCAGGATAAGCGATCCCCGCCGCGCGAAGATCCTCCTGAAACTTCTCCTTCGGGCCCTTATAAACGCGATCGACAAACCCCGGCAGCCTCGCCTCGAGCTCCGGGTCAGGCCCTCGCCGCGCGCGCCTCTCTCCCGCCTCATACCTCGCGAGCTCATCGAGAAACTTCTCCTTCGGGCCTCTGTACACGCGGTCGATAAAGCCTGGTCGGTTCAGCTCTTCTGGCGCCTTCACCTCCCTGCGCTCCTCGACGGACCGGGCCCTCGACGCGGCGAGTTTCTCTTCAAACTTCTCCCTCGCCCCCTTGTAATCGCGATCCACAAACCCCGGCAGCTCGAGCTCTGGACCCGTCTTCTCAGGAGCGAGCGCGGCGCGCCGTTTCGCGATGAGGACGTGCACATCACCGAGCCCGGGAATCGCCACGACGCGGCAGACATCACCCAGATGACTCCGCTCGAGCGTCCCCAACACGCGCGTTAGCTGATCATACGAAGCACTGCGATCGACCTCTGAGGCAGGCAACCTCACCCCTTCATACTCGAGATAAAGGCCGCAGATCCTACCATAATCTCCCTGCGTCCCCTCCGGAACGAGCGTGACTGACGCCTTCTTCAAGCTGTCCGCGAACTCCTTCCAGGTCGCATCTTTTGGCGAACGATCGAGCGCAGACTTCATCACAGAGAGCGCCAGCTCCCGGCGATCTGACGCTCCATCCAGGCCACCAGGAGACGACCCTGGAGCACCTCCTCCTCCCACTCCCTGTGACAGGATCGGGGGTGGCTCGCCCGTAAGATCTCGATGATGCTCGGATGGAAATTCGTGAGAAGACAGCCTCTCTGCCCCTCCCTTTCGCTGGCCAGCAGGACGCTCCGTAGGAAGCCTCGGCAGCGAGTTCGAGCGGTCTCGCGCCTCTCCTTCAGGCTCACTGACCGGCTCGCACTCGCCTGTTTTCGTGATCGATGAGAGGCAAAACGGCGACGCCTCACCGCCCTGGTCAGCATCGACTCCTGCCTTGTCTACCTCTTCGCGACCGGACGCCCGCGACCGCTCGAGTTCCAGCTCGATCTCCCGCTCGAGCTGCCGGATCTTCTCGATCCTCACATAGGACGCTACCCTGTCCACCTCGACACCGCGCCTGAGCATCGCCGCCGCGGCCACCCCGAGATGGAGCTGCGGCGTGCGCGCGATCCCACGCTCCTTGTAAGAGCGACAGTCCACGCGCTCGGTTTCCCCCGCGCGCTCGAGCGCCACGTTCGCGGCGATCTCCCAGTCCTTGCGCACCTGCTTGACCCACTCCGAGCCTCGCATCGAGGTGTCCTTTGGCGCCCCGCCCTTCCATGGCCTCGCCCTGTTCGCGCGCCGAAAGTGCTGCTCCATCTCCCGCGCCACCCCATCATCTCCGCGCTCCGAGTAGATCACGTGCATGTGCGGATTGTGCCCGTCGCTGTCATGGATCGCCATGGTGTAGGGGAGTCTGCTCGGCGTCATGAGATCCGAGACAAACTCCCGCGCGAGCTCGACCTGCTGCCCCCGCGCGAGCTCGCGCGGGAGCGCCACCTCCACCTCATTATACACCCGCCCATTCTTGCGCTCGTAGGTGTCCGCGGCCTCCCAGAAGTGGCGCTCGTCGCTCGCCCAGGAAGGAAGATTCCCCGACTCGACGAGGACAAGCTCCTCCTCTCGATCAGCGTACGCTCCCTGGCGCGTGATGTAGTCACAACGAATGGTCCCGCTCGCCCCCTTGAGCTTGGATCCGGTCGTGACCTTGAGGTGATAGATCGCCATGAGGTGATGCGCTCGGGGGGTGGCTATGGTAGCTCGAAACGGAGCTTGACGAATGACTCGAGTGTAGAGAAAGTATCAAGTGCGCACAAGGATTTTTACCGGCTTTCACGACCACCACTCCAGGGAGACCATCTTGCCTCGAGACAGCGATACGGGTACCCGAAACGAGGGCGCACAGGAGGAAGATCCTGCGGCAAGAAAACGCGCTCACCGGATCGCCAAACTCGAGGCAGAGCGAAGGCGTCTCCTCGCCCTCGAAAACGAGCAAAAAAGGAAGCAGGACCTTCGGCGAAAGATCCTGCTCGGGGAGCTGCTCCTCTCGCTGATGGAGAAGGACGTGACGTGGAGAACCTCGACGCGAGAACAACTCTCGCGTCACCTGAGCGTCGAGAGAGACCTCGCGCTCTTCGATGATACGTGGTGGGAGACCACCTTCGGCGAGGACGATCCGTGATCGTGATCGACCCTCACACTTTATGAAATGAACGACGCCGGGCCGACGACGCGCGGTGAGAAACATGCAGGAGCCATGATGGGACGACACCCCGAAGACGAGACCGTACGCGATGTCGCGATGAAGCTCATGATGTCGAGCCTCGAAGCCGAGATCCTCGATCTCTTGAGGGAGAAGGATGGCCTCAGTCGCCAGGAGTATTTCCGGCAGCACCTCTGGGCACAGCTAAGCGAGCTGGACATCACCAGGCTCGATACCCTGAAGCTGAGGCAAAAGGATATAGAGCGCATCATCGAGGAGGCTCGCGCGCACCTGAAAAAGCACGCCTCATCCGACTGATGTCCCTCCTGGTCGACGACGTGAGCGTGCGAATCCCTCGCGCGCTCACGAAGTTCGTCGAGCAAGACGTCGTCGATGGGCGAGGGCCAGGATCGCCATGGGAACACGCGTACCCTGTATTGAAGCCATGGAGGATTTGCTGCCTCTTCTCACCCACGAGGCGTCAGGTCGCTTCCGCAACGTATCACCGCCCAGCCAACTCCGACCCTCTTCGTGAATCGACAACACATGGCGTGGTTCCTCGTGCGCGCAGCTACGCGAGTACGCGCGCGGGCATGTGCGCTCAGCTGCGCATGTGCGGGCGCGAGCGTGTGCGCCCAGCTGCGCGTGTACGCGAGAGCATCATGGATCGGATCGAGAAGAAGCCTGTACGCCACGAGGAGCTTCGACTTCAGGATATGAAGGAGTGTCCTGCCCTCGTGAGCTCCGTCGCCACCTCGTGGCGCACAGGTCCACTCACGCGCGATTGGATCGCGACGAACGCGTGGAGCGCAGGGAGTGGAGCGCAGTGAGAAGAACGCTTCGACCACAGCGACATCGCCGGGGGAGACCACGCCACAGATGACGACGCGACCGGGGATGGTACTGGCTGCCTGAAGCAGAGACGTTCACGCCGCGCCGAGTGAGCGCTGTTCTTCTGATGAGGTGACGCGTGGAGCACGACAACTGTCCACACCTCACCCCGGTGAGCTTGGCCGACCCAGGCTTTCTTCAGGAGGGAAAAAGATCCTCTCCATACAGGAGCGCTGACATGCTTCTTTCCTCACGAGCATGCGTTGTAGATAACCCGGATGGTATGATGTGAACACATCGCCATCGACGCGTTTCAGGACACAGACGGTTGCTTTGACCTCGACCATGAAACAGACGGGATCCTCGACGACGTGGACAGCCGCCCCTCGACACCCGAGGACTTTGTTTGATGGGTTCGACGACAGGTGCCCGCTCGCTGCGGAAGATTTCGATGGTGACCAGGACGAAGATGGCTGCCCGGAGCAAAAGCGTGACCTGCTCTACAGGAGCCCCGCGCTTCAGATTGGACAAAAGACTTACTTCGCGCCTGGCAGCCACGACATCCGACCCCGCGAGGTCACCGTCCTCGACGAGCTAGCCAGGATCCTCATCGAAAACCCAGACATCCTCGAGCTGCGGATCGAGGGGCACACCGACAGCCGCGGTGACGCGGCGAGGAACCTCGAGGTCTCTCGCCAGCGCGCGCAAGAGGTGCGGAGCTACCTCATCGCTCGTGGCATCGAGCCAGAGCGCCTGACGCTCCGTGCCTTCCCCGACAGCCTGCTCCTCTGCGATGAAGCCTACAGAACCCGTAAGGATCTCACCAAAAGCGAGCGCGACACGTACAACAGACGCGTCGCGTACAAGATCGTGCGTCGGTTGCCAGGTAACAGCACCGTCTTTGAACAACACCCCTGGAGCCAAAACCCCCAATAGCGCGGCGAGCTCGAACCACTTCTTCTGATCGGAACGTGGAGAGGTCCGCGTTCAGGGGACGAGGACCATGGCAAGGTACACCGCCCCACAGAACCCGCGCGTCGCGGAGAACCCAGTCGCGTGACCGATGTGCACGCTGTAGGTGAGCCCGTCGAGGGTGACCCGTGTGCCGCCCCACCCGAGGCGTTGTACGCCAACATCATCCAGGACAAGCACATCCGCGCGCCTGTGCCCGTTCCTGATGTACACATCCTCACACGGCGCGTGCGTCTCCCAGGAAAACCTCGCGCCATCCCAGGGGAACCCCGCGGGCATCACAAACCCTCCCCCTTCCCTCGCCGCGAGGAGCCCCTCCAGATAACGCGGCGTGCCCGCCGCGTCTGTGAAAACCCTGAGCTCCTGCAAGCTCGAGAAGTCTCCCTCGTTCAGGCGACACCCCGACATCATCTCGTAGCGCTCCTCGTACACATAACGCTCGCCATCAGAGAGCGCGGGGACAGGCGTCGCGAGGTCCGAATAAAAGCTCGCCCACACCCCTGGCACGACCTCACCATCGCTCGCGGCGTCGAAGGTAAACTCCAGGTAGGCGCGCGCTCCTGACCTGGAAGGTTCGCGCGAGCGCAGGCGCCCCTCGAAGCGCCGTATCCCTCGCGCGTCGAGCTCACCCACGGGCACCTGATTCAAAAACATCCCTGCGCATCGAGCGCCGAGACGTGATGGAGCGCGCGGTCATGCGCGTCTTGATAACGCTCGCACTCCGGCGGCTTCTCGAACGCCATGTCCAGAGACATGTCCCCCTCGCTCGAGTCATCCTCGCGAACAGATCCAGCGTCAGCCTCGACAATATCAGGCGCCGCGCGCATGTCTGGCTCGTGCCCCTGGTCAACGCCTGACGCGAGGTCCTCACCCATATCGAGGACCTCACGCCAGGAACGGTGGGCAAAATCAGGTCGCCAAGAGATGGAGAAGTCCGCGCAGGACATGTCCGACGCAGGCTCGTTCACCGCAGTCTCCTTCGCGCAAGACACGACGACAGGGAGCAGCGAGAGCGCCGCGAGGAGCGGTAGCTTCAGGACATGTCTCATGGCCAGAACGTGACCTCGCGTGGCGTCGGGCCTCCCTCACCATCGAAGCCAAGCTGGCCGAACTCGTTGTCTCCCCAACAAAAGACGCGATTTTGGCCATCGATGGCACAGGAGTGGCTACGTCCCACAGCCACATCCAATGGGGCTTCCACCTCCATAACATTCACGAAATTGGCGGGTATTTGAGAGAGTTGCCCAGCGCTGCTAGTACCCCAACAATAAACTTGTCCATCCGCCAACCCACAGGAGTGACGGAAGTCGGAATCGATCGTCTCGACGTTCACCAGGTCAGGCACTTTAATCGCCTCTGTGTATTTGTCTTCACAGCAAACGTTAAGACGCCGTTGGTTGCCACCATTGTAGCCGATGCCCCACAGTTCATCGTCTCGAATGAAGAACGTTCGATCCTCTCCTGCAAAGATTTTAGAGGCACCAGCTAGCTCTGAAGCTTCTCTCGGAAGAAAGATTCCCCCTTCAGGTCCGCCGTACCCTGCACCTTTTCCCCAACACCAAACAGAAGCGTCATCGAGGACGGCACATGTGTGGAATTTCCCCGACTCGAGGAACAGCGTGTCTCCTGGTAAATCGACTTTGGTGGGCGTTGCCTGATTTTCACCTAACATCCCGAGTCGCTCATCGCCATTAGAGCCCCAGCAATAAACCTCTCCGCTCTCCAACAATACGCAAACGAACCCGTTCCCGATTGAAACTTGTTTGGTTTGGCTCAAAGACGATACCGCTCGAGGGGATGGTGCCACCTCGAAGGTTCCATCGCCAATGGCTCCTGTTTGTCCAGAGCCCCAACACAAGAGTTCCCCATCTGGAGAGATGACGCATGCATTGTATTCTTCTGAGATGAGCTGACTGGCGTTTGTGACTCCTTGCGCTTGGACCGGTGTCGATGACGATTCCAAGGAACCGTTGCCCAACTGCCCAAATTCGTTGTCCCCCCAACTGAAGACGGTTCCGTTGGACATGAGTACATGCGTGGCAAGCGCAGAGACTTCGATATCGACAGGAAAGGGCCGTGTACAATCAGGGAGACACTCGGCATCGTCAGCGTTGTCATCCCCGTCATCACAAAGCTCGCCCTGCTCCTGTTGAACCACGCCATCGCCACAAAAAGAGGTGGCGCCATCGGTGAGTTGACAGCTCGCGTCACAAACCATGCAGGACGTCTCACCATAAGGGCACGCGCCGTCCGGGTTCATGCCGTCATCACAAGCTTCGTTGTCTTGCTTTGTGCCATCACCACACGCGCCAGTTTCGCGCGAGCAATCCGCGGCGCAGTAGTCGCCATCGTCCTTGTTGCCATCATCACACGCCTCCCCCTCGTCGAGGTTTCCATCACCGCACGTGCTGGGGATATCCATCTCCTCGCATCCCGCGCCTTCACAGGCTCGCGGCATGTCCTCTCCTTCTCCCATGTCCACCATCGCTGACATGTCCTCGGATGGAGTCGGCGTGTTGTTCTCTTCCTTCCCACAGGAGGACAGCGCGAGCGCTGCGAGGAACAGCAAGAATACAGATGGGTTCACGCTGCGTGGTTCGGTGTGCTTCATCGATTCACTGACCTGGGAGGAGAAATGGACGTGCCGTGGATTCGAAATTTAAGATATATTATTGATCGATGCAATCTCGCGAAGAAACAATCCGCGTGAACAACGCCTTAGCTCGGACCGCTTTAAGAGCATGTGCGATAATCCCGAGGGAGGAATGACATGAAGAAGAAGGACACCATGCCAGTCTGGCTCCTGGTTGACGTATACGCCTCGTCGTTCACGAGCTGAAGATAACACCGACCCCTTCGACGCCACGACATGGCGTGCGCGCCAGCAACCGTTGGCGCAGCCGCGAGGGATTGTTTAACTTGACCTCACCACACCATCGCCCTCGGTGATGCCCAAAGAACAGATGCCCGCGAGACGGAGCTCGAGTTGTCGAATCATATGCACCCGCTGGCCATCCACGCGCTCTGCCTGACAACCTGCCTCTCGGGGTGCACCTCGACGCGTGACGCCGCGCCAGGACAAAACACCGAGGTCATCACGCACGCGCTCGAACTGCCTTGCCGCGACGCCGAGAGGAGCCCTGTGTCCGCGTCGTTCAAGAACGGCTTCGCCATGGAGCCCGCGTTCATGGACGACCTCTCCCCCAAAGGTGGCGCGTGCTTCTTCCCTGATGGCAGCCGCGCGAACGCGTACACCTCCCCTTCTCCAACAAACTACGACGTGTACATCGAGCTTGGCGGGGACGGCTTCTTCCATAAGTTCGAGGTGCGGTTTAAACAACCCCCGAAGCAACGCTACCACGGGATGCCCGGATTCTGGCGCGTCCCGATGGAGCCAGGCGTCGACCTGATCGCCTACGCGGCCTATGACGACTTTCGCCTTCACTTCACGCCCCCTTCGTGGGCGTGCGCCTTCCCCGAAGGATTTGACTTCTTCGCTTACAAGAAGCTCCTCGAGACAGCGCGCATTGTCTACGGTGGGTATCGCCCCGGCACGAAAGAGTACTACTACTGGGACCACGCGGGGTTGGCGCCCTCCTCCAGCGAAGGCTTCCACTTCACCTACATCACGAGCTTCCACAACCCCTTCGTCGCTTGCGTCACCCCACGCGAGACGCTCGCCTGGCCATGAGCGACCCGCCACGTCCAAGTGCGTCACGATGTTTGAAGAACCCGGCGTCCTCGAACAGGTTGGAGAGCAGGAACACGACTCGGGCGTATCACGACAGGAAATGCTTCGAACTCCTCGAAAGCGAGGACGCGCCCGAGCCTGTTTAACCAGGCTCTCTCGAACACAGCGGAGGCCGCCTCCTCGACCCGGACCGATCGAAATCGCCGAGTGGTTCCTTGACGCAGCGATGCATCCTCACACATTCACGGGGTGCTTTGAACCAGGGCTGTCACATGTGAAGTGGCCCCGGTTCGGAGCGCGGCCATGACACGGAAGATACGAGCGCTCCCACGATCACACAGCTTCGAATTCACCGGGTCACCTGAGTAGCCTGCAGCGAACGTCACGCAAAAGCTGGATCAGCGAAATGAACGTCACGCAAAAGCTGGATCAGCGGAGCGAACGTAACGCAAAATTCGCCAGATCCTGCAGCGAACGTAACGCAAAAGCTGGATCAAGCATCGACAACTTCGCAGGCGCATTGGCATGACGGAGCGCCACGAGAAAGTATCAGCTTCTCCTCGATTTTATGCGCTCGGAAGCGCTCGTTTGGGTAACCTTCTTTCCTTACCCTCGTCGCACACGCCCTGATTTGAGTGAAGAGCGCGCTCGCCACACAGCGTGCCTGCCGCGCAGGCGTGGCGTTGGCCTCGAGCGGGCACCACTGCAGCGAACGTAACGCAAAAGCTGGATCACGTTCCTGGCCCTTATGGAGAGCCGACCTCCGGGGTCTTCGAGGCAGGCTTTTCGCCAAAAATCGCGCGTTTTGGAGGATAATTCGGGTACCCTTATCCAGCCTCTGCGCAGCGAACGTAACGCAAAAGCTGGATAAGGGCGCTCGCCTCGTGAATGACAAATGAGTGAGGAGCGCGGCGTGGCTACTCGAGCTGCCCTTCAGGCAAGAGGTGCTCGAGAGATTCGAGCTGTGCCTGACCAAAGGTGATGACGATGGTCTCCTCGAGCAGGTCCTCGAACAGCAGCCCCGAGGAATCGGGCATGATGGCATCACACCTCCAGGTCCTCAGGAGGCCATGCTCGACCATCAGGTCGAAGCACTCGCGCAGCTTCTTGCTGAGCGCATGAGGGCGACCGAAGCGCCCCTCGAGCCCGCTCCACTCATAGATGACCTTGATCGAGATGGTCAGGCTGCCGTCGGCGGCGAGCCGGTCCATGTAGGCGCGGTTGATGAGCGTCCAGTAGATGTTAAACGGGATCGAGGAGCGGTCGTCGAGGCGAAAGGCGCGCTCGTCGAGCGACATGTAGGAGGGCGTGCCGCCGGACTCCTTCGGCGTGACCATGTCCCAGAGCACCTTGGCGATCGACCAGGCCTTGAAGGTATAGTGGAGGCTCAACCCCTCGCGCTGGTCGGGCCTGAGCTGTTCACTATCTAATTCAACATCTTGGTATGTATTTGTTTGTTAAGGTTATTTCATAGTGTTGAAGCCTTCTGAATAATCGGGACATGTTGTCAAGAACCTCTCTCCACTCATCGTGACGACATTCTCGAGGTAGAGATAATCGGGTTCGCTCGAGCAAGGCACGGAGTCCGGGTGGTCGCAGTATCGCCCGCATTCTGCAAAGGATGCGTTTAGCGCCTCTTCCCGTGAGTCAAAGGGAAGCGGCAGCACCAGCGAGAAGGTGAGCTCGTCCTCAGCCTCGAATTCGCTGTCGATGAACTGCTGTCCTTCTGTGTGTTGATCGGAGCAATCCTGGAAAACAGTGGGGTAGGCCACGCCAAATTTACAGTCTTCCAGGCGTGCAGCGTCCCGGCTTATCGGGACGTGGATGCGCAGGCGCTCACCAGGCTGAACCTCGTAGATCATTGGCTCGATCGTCTCTGTCGCCTTCTTCTGCCCCATAAACCAGGTGGTTTGGGTTGTTAATGCGATTCGTTCACCATTTCGAGCCATCCACCAGTAGCCCCCCAGCAAATCGGCGCGAGGACCACCCATATCGAACGGTCCTTCGTCGTTTTCCCAGAGCAACTCCAGCGGGATCACAAAGAACAGGCTCGAGCGACACCGAGACACGAGATCGAGCTGATTGTAGCCCTGGTGGCGAACGAGCTGGAGGCATTGTGTGGCAGCACATCTCGATGCATCTGAACCCTCAGCGCACACACCTGTACCGATAGCTCCATCGACGACTGGCCATGCGGTGGAGGTTGGAGGCACGTCATCTCGTGCACAAGAGCCGATAAGGACGACAGCGCTCAGGATCAGGGCGGGCTTGGATGGGTTCAGGTTCATGGCAGAATCTCCACACAGGAGAGGAAGACCTCGTACGCACCACGCCAAGGGTTGTTGCAAGATTCGCGTCCGAGGTGCTTGCCAGCTCTTCTCCTGGAGCGCGCCTCATCAAATCATCGCTTTTTCGGTTTCGAAACAGCCACTCCGTGAATGGAATCGACCATCACCAGCAAACCGACGGGTTCCCTGTCCATTTCGGCAGGGTTTTGTTCGGGTCCCAGGAACTCTCGATCCCAGAGAGAAGTCCTGACGTGAGTGGGGACAACGTAGCTGTGTTCGTGGGGATCGTTTGAAGGGTCTTCGCCAAACCAAAAGACAGCCTCGTACAACGTTTTGCCTTCTGTCACGTCGCCGCAATCCTCGGAGTCAGGCTCGAGGGGCACCTTGTGACGTTTGGTGTGCTGACATTCGATCCAGGCGTATTTCGGGTGGTCGGAAGGTACGCTGATCATGAAACGGTACCCGGCGTTCCATTCGACAACAAAACCATCGAAACGATAAGCGG